TGTTTTAACAAGATAACTATCATGTTTTAACAAGATAACTATCATGTTTTAACAAGATAAGTATCACGTTTTAACGAGATACGTATCACGTTATAACGTGATAGCGCTTGGATTTTTCTTTTCCTGCCTGATAGCAATACGCTTCCGTACCTGTCTGTTACTAAAATATCAACACAGCCAGCCAGCATTAGAAAATTTTACATATATTGACCTAAAACGTGGAGCATCAGTAGCTAAACCCACTCCTCTCCCTCAGACACAGAGAATGCTAAAGCGAAAGATTGTTTACAAGTGAAAAAAATATTCAAGACAATTGTTTAACAAAGTATGAAGTACTGGAAGGATTTTAATCAAGCTCTCTGGCTAAAGTGTTGTGCATTTGTAGCCAAAAGTCGTTCCCAACACACACATTGCTCCTCTTTGCATAAAACTTTGGCAAGAATTGTTGAAGTCGGCCTTGTTTGTCTGTTGGCAAAATATCATATGAACTACTGTGCAGACCTAAATGAAACTCTCAGAAAGTAATCATTAYATYTAACAACTGCAGCTAATGCAAGCAAGCATACACAAACACCAGGCCGTTATTTGACCTATTTTGATGTTTTGATTACCTTTAATAGAAAAAAACAAAACATTGAAATGTGTAGTTAGAATTAATAAAATATTTCCCTACGAAGTAAATCAGATGTAAATATTAAATTATGTAAATAAAATATAACYTGCAAAGCTTCCAGAAAGAACAACACAATCCTTGTTGCAAGTTTAATTTCAAGCTGACGTTCTGTTTCATGAGCAGTCAAATGAAACACATCCGGTATGAAAACATTCCTTACATTCACCCAGTGTGTAAAACTGCTACGTATCTACTACATAAAACTCATCAATTTATAGTTTCTATTTATTTTCSTCTTTGCTTTATGGTCACAGATCTGAATCCAGCCCATATTTCAAAAGGATTCTTCTAATGGGACATGAATGATGCTAAGCCATGACGTTTGTGTTTCAGTAYAAGACCTGGAACCGGATCATCAGTCCCTCTTTAGTTTCATGCTTTACTGTGTTTTCTTTTAATTAGGAGTCAGACCACTCGTCTCCTAAAGGGATTGGAGGGTTCGGACCTCGGCTGTGATCCAGGTTTGGAATGGAAACTGATGGTCAGACTGAAGATGGAGCCGTGCTCGGAGAGCGGAGACAAACTTGTGAGCAGTGCGTGGACTTTAGGTGATGTTCTCCAGGATGTAAAAGATGAGCTCCATAATGATGGGCTCTTCTCCCCTCGTGCGGCCCCTGCTGTGGATGACGGGGATCAGAACGCTGTCCAGAGCGTTGAGGTACTGAGCTGGGAGAGGCTGCCCGTTGCTCCCGGCCACAAATCCCACCTGAAACATCACAATAAACCTTTAGCACCATCACACACAGAAGACTACTTTTACATTGTTACTAAGCTTTATGTGACTCAAAACTGTATTTTGTTCTATGTTAAATACAAAAGAACCTCCGGTTTTGAGGAAAAACTGGACACCAAAACTAGTTAAAATGATTTTAAGCATACTTGACCTAATGAGAAGTTTTTTTTTGTGAAATACCACTGGTAAAAAATAAACACAGAAGAAAACTAGCTTTGCAAAAACAGCRATTTACAACAGGTAAGATATTAATTATGACCTTTCCACAGAACCCCACTAAAGTGTCTGAGCTTTTAATCTTTTTAGGCCAATATTTTGATTTATTAATGCAATTATTTTGTCTATATAATCAGAAAAAGAAATGACAGTTGCTTATTAATTAAAGACTAAAGAAAATCATATCAACTGGCAACATTTATGTCAGTTTTATCCACCATCTTTCAAAATGTCTTTCAAAATGTGTTACAGTCTGTGTTAAATATGACTCTTAGATTCTGCCTCATCAAACTTTAGTTCAACATTTTTCACTCTGACTAACTTGGAGTCATTTATGTTTTCTGAGGTTGATTAGTTGTGGCAGTCGTATTYAATTGGGTTAACTTAAAAACTTAATCAGTAGCCAAACATCGGATAATTACTTTTTCAGAGTTTCAATAAAAACTGTATGTCCAATTGTTCTAAAGATATTTTGCTAACAGACAATCAATGTTACTTTTAATTTTTAGGTAGCCTTTCCCCAKGTTAAGATTTTAGCTTTTTATTTGTTACTTTACATTTTTTTTATATTTGTAGCTCTTAGCTAGTCTTCTACTTTTAGCGTGTAGCTAGATTTTTTATGTTTATTTAACCATTTGCTATTTTAGCTAGCTTTTGTTAATTTTAGATTTTAGCWACCATTCTGTTACTATTAGCTTTTAGCTAGCATTTTGGTAATTTTAGGTAGGCGTTTACTACTTTAAGCTAAATGCTACTTTTTTGACCCTTTGTTGTTGTAGCTTTCAGCTAGCCTTTTGCTGCTTTTCGCTCTTAGCTAAATTTTGTTATATAACATTTAGCTAGTCTTTTGTTTATTTGAGCTTTTAGCTATCATTTTCTTGTTTTTAGCTTTCAGCCTTTTGATGCTTTCTGCATTATTTTTACGCATTTTAACATGAGCATTTTTCTCATTAGCTGAGCTTCTACTAGGCTACTTTTAGCTGAAAGCTACTTTTAACGAAACTTGTTATTTTAGTTGAAAGCCAGCTTTTTTATCTTTAAGCCTTTAACTGAACTTTTGTTGCTTTAGCTAATGTTTTGCAGCATTTAGGTAACCATGTTTTAGAATTTGCTTCTAGATATCATGTTAAGACATTTCTAAATAGCAGTCTGCTTCTTTTAGCTAGTGTTCTGCTTCTTTTGGGTTTTACATCACATTTTTTTCCTCTAACAACTTAGTTTCGTTTCCTCAGCTAATGTCAAGAGTATTTCAGCATTGACAGTTTCTGTAGTTTTTATAAAATAAAACAAGCTCAAAACTCAGAATCAGTTCTGAGAAAAGTTTAGTTTATAAAATCAATGTGAAACAGGAAATGTGTCAGATATTCTATCTCTAATATCTCATGCTTGGAAGGTGACCATCTAAAGRAATAATAGTAGAAATATTGTGTCATATCAGGGGATTGGTTGTGGATATGACAGAAGAAAATGCATGCATGGATATTGTGTCATAACCACTCCTTCCTGACCTCTTGAGTGTCAAACGTGACACGCAGCCCCAGTTTAGCCATCCCGTCTTCTTTCAGCAGTTTCAGGTGAGGACAGAGTGCCAGGCAGAAGGCCCGGGCTATCCGTTCCGTCAGCCGGCTGTGTTCGGCCGAGTCAGTTGCTCCTCCTTTCACACCGCGGCCTCTCGGCAGGAAGAACACCTGCAGGAAGAGGAGCGTGTGAATGTAAGCTGAACTCACGTGTGACGACACATTCTCTGAAAACGTCAGACGTACTTCTGTCCAGCGGATGATTTTGCCGTTTTCTTTGTATTCTGACTTCTGGAACATCTTCTTACTTCGAACAGACTCCATGGATTTTCCATCAATGGGGCTGATGACACTTTGAAGCACATTCATTGGGACAGTTGACTACAGTGTGCTGACCAGTCATTTTTACTATTAATCTTCTCAAAACTGGAGTTGATTAAAACCTGCTTTAGATTTAGCTATTATTTGATTGACAAAGCTCTGGGTGGGTGATAAGCATTGCTTAAAGGAATATTAGACTGTAAAATATTKAACTTTTTTGTAATTTCCTACTAGTAATGACTGATTTGTATTGTTAGAAACTGTCCTTTGACCCGTATTGTTRTGTTCAAACAGGTACACGCACTCACCCCTTGTTCACAGCACATCTGTCCTCCACCCACTGTAAACAAACCAGCTCCTGGCTCTTTGATTGGTCGAGCTGCCCGCATGTGACGGTGTAGTCTTTCATCTCCCGGAACGACCGGCGAATCTCCGCCATGGTTTCCACGGTGACCTGCACCATAAGCCCATCTAAGGAGAGGAAGGACAGCAATACAAGAGGAACACACAAACAAACGCACACTCACGTGCATCAGCATGTACACATGCCTTGACAAACACACACACACACACCCACGTACACACAAAGATCACCGCAGTCCGCTCAAACCAGTTCTCAGGCAGGGATACTTGACATTTTCCCCAAACATAAACAGTAAATTTAAAAGCAGGATTCCATCAGGCCTCCCTGTAATTACATAGCCTACCCTCGACTATGCTGGACTTGGCCAGGTGTCCTGCAGACGCTTTCAGGGCACTGCTGAATATGAAAAAGCACGATCCAGTCACTGGGAAAAAAAGAAGAAGCAAAAACTAAATAAATAAATAGATTTTAGTCTTGTTATAATCAGGAAAAAGACAGACACTCTGTGCCACCTGGTGTTCAATATTTAAAAGTGCAGGTGTTCAAACATTTCAGGCCTTTTTAACAGTTTTCYTGTTTCTTTTAATTTTCCAAAACATTACTGCTGTGACTTTTTTTAGAGTTTTTATACTTCATCAAAATATTTCACTTTGTTTACACATTTCTTCACCATAAAAATATCTACCTTTCCTTCAAAAACATTATTCTTGAATTTTGCTTCAGTATTCATGCTCTATTTTTGTCTTCTTATGCTAGTTTTGGCTTTTAGCTATTATTCTACTTTTAGTTTATAGTTAGTTTTTTTCATACTTTAATTTTGAACTAGCATTTTACCATCTTTAGCTTATTAANCACAACCCCTTGAGGCGCGTTCGCCATAGACTTTGCATGTAAACTGGCAGCTCCTGCCGCTCAAAACGCTCTCGGTGTGAACGAGCCTTTACTGTTGTGACTTTTTTTTAGAGTTTTTATACTTTATCAAAATATTTCACTTTGTTTATACATTTCTTCCCCACAAAAATATCTACCTTTCCTTCAAAAACATTATTCTTCTTGAATTTTGCTTCAGTATTAATGCTCTATTTTTGTCTTCTTATGCTACTTTTGGCTTTTAGCTATTATTCTACTTTTAGTTTATAGTTAGTTTTTTTCATACTTTAATTTTGAACTAGCATTTTACCATCTTTAGCTTATTAATTGTAGCCTCCCTTGTGGTACTTATAGCTTTTAGCTATCGTTCTACTAATTGATACTTTTACTTATAGCTATCATTCTGCTACATTACGTTTAAGTTTTTAGTGTTTTGGTACTTCTTGATTTTAAGTTAGCATTTTACTACTTGAAGTTTTAAGTCTGATTTTTGGTAATTTTAATTTCCATTTTGGTGTTTTACCTTTTATCTAGCCCTTTGCTACTTTTAGCTTGGTTTTTATTATTTTTGGCTAACCCTCAGCTGCTTTGCCCAGTGTTTTCCTACTTTAACCTTCAGATAACATAGTTTAAAAATTATATTCTTTGACTGCATTTAGCTTTTTATTTTTTATTTATTTTTATTTTTTTGACTACTATTGATTTTATCAAAAAATATTTTTGCTTCTTTGATTGGCTTATTTCAGCTGTAGTAACTCAAGCAAACCATTTTGGCAGAAACTGCAATATTTAAAATATTTAAATAAAAATCAAATCACATTTCATTATTTAATTATATTTAATTATCCGTTTAGTGCTACAAAATATAAATATTCATCGTAAACACCACACAGTTCATGTAATTTGCATGCATTTTAACTGAGTTTTAAAGATTTGATTTGAGTGAGGTTTTTTGGTAAATGACTCATAYTATCTAAAATGGCTTTAGTTTCAAGGCGCCTGTCCTTAGTTTGTATGCTCTTGTCACGACAGTTTCTGTTTTAATGTCATAGTGACTGCTCCTTTTTTGTTTATTTTATCTTTAACTGTGGTTACAAAACTGAGCTCAGCCTGTAAACTTTGTAGGCCGTATGTTTTTCTGGGATGACAGCACATGAGTCTATGTTGATGTGAAAACGTTTACTCCGCTGTTCCAGGAAGTTACGACTAATGGTTGACCCTTGTCTCCTTTTTTCCTGGAATACTCTTAATTATCTGAAGCAAATTCTCTTTATTTCCAAAAAAGAAAAAAAAATGCACTGAAACCTTTTTTAAACTTTGTATTTAAGTCAGAAACCTAAAAATAAATTAAAGTACTAGTGTTCACTGAAAGAATGAATATTGCCCGCCACCTTTATTGCAAGAGTTTTAGACTAAAATCATTGTTTATTGAAAAAAATATGGCGTTTGTTGTGAATGACTCTCAGCTACTGTACATTAGAATTTAGCTCCATATCTTTTATTTTTAAGTTATAACCAATTTTATGTTGGTTAATTTCAGTTTGACTTCTTGATTTTTAACTTCAAATGTTAATCAGCACAAAAGCTACAGATGTACATTCAGTGATTACCTTGAAATGGTTGTAGTGGTTYATGATTTGTTTTGCTAACAAACAAACAGGGTTGACTACATTAATTAAGGCTAAAGTTTTAAGCAAAGCTCTTGTGCAATGAGTACTTAACCAACCAATCAACTATAACCAACCATGATATCTGTTAAACTGACTGAAATATAGCATTTTGAGTGTTCGCATTTATTAATTGGTTGTAGCAGCCATTTTTTTGGGTTGGTGTAAAAGTTTATTATTTGTAGAGGTGCAACCAATTAACCAATTATGTAAAGACTAATCATATGTATGTTTGTAATAATTCAGCCACATAAAACAACACGTCTAGTTAATAAAAGCCTTATATTATCTCTAAAACATGCATCAGAAAAATGCTAACGAGGAGGATGTGGAGAYGTGGGGAACTTATTTCTAGGGTCAGAGCGGGTTGGGAGAGGGTTATTTAATTGTATTTATTGTTGAGACGTAAAATCAGTTTAAAGCTGCGCTTTTGGAAAAAAAATCTGTGAGATTTCTTGTACATTTGTATACCTGCAAAATGGGGGTAACATTTGTGTAATTTACAGACAATCCGTACAACTTGACATGAATGGGAGTAACAAGGTTAATTTTTTTTTAATTTCAGGAGCATAAGTAAAAAGTCAGCTGAAAGATAAGTACTCCAGCAAAGTATAGATAACCAAAATGTCTAGTTGAGATAAAGTAGTGTTTGTACCTTGTTACTTTACGCCTCTGCTCATGTAAAGTTACCTTTGCGTGGCTGGTTGTGGATGCTGATAGCCTGGGTTTGGTACTGGCCGTCCTCTGTTTGCACACAGATCAGGTGGGAGTCTGCGCTGTCGTTGAAAGACGCTCCTAAAGCCAGCACGTGCTCGTTGCACTTATTCAAAGCCTTCATTAACTATTATCAGACAATTAGACAAACAAAAGATGACAAGTGAGGACAATATAATTGAATCTCCTCTGTTGCTTTGTCATTATACCTCATTATGTCCGGTGGTTGGAATCTTTATCAGGGTCCTTTGAGCTTCTAGATCCACAGTGAGCCCCGCCACCATCGGTAGGCTGTAACGGTAATTTCTAAAGTCCTAAAAAATATACAGGATGTTTAAAGGAGAAGGTCAATGCCTGCTATAAGACACCAAACTTCCTCTGGATACTGGTAAAACGGGTTTTGCAAGAAACGGAAGAATTGTACTCACCACTAACAGTCTCATTATGGTGTGACCTATTTCCCCAAACAGGGGCTTCCTGAATCTCACGCTGTACAGGGGACATGGGTAAACTGGACAAACAGAAGTGAAGTGAGCAAGCAGAAGCACCACAGCTGGGTAGATGTCACCGAGCAGCTTGGCTTACATCTGTACTCGGCCCCCAGTCGCAGCATGAGGCGCAGGGGGAAGGCTTTGGCCCAGGCCACTTCTGCTCTGTGGACCAGCAGGCCGAAGAGGTAAGGCTGGTTGGGCAGAGGTAGACCTTGAAGCGACTGCAGAGTGGACTGAACGTACAAGAAGCCGGCGTGCTCGCGGTTCCCTAAGAATCGACTGCCGAACAGGAAGAGCGACAGGTGCTTTACGACCTTCCCTGCAGAAAKAAAAAAAAAAAAAAAAAACGACAGAACGGCTGAGTGATGATGATGAGGTGAAGAAGCCGCATCTTATAAAAAAGCATGAGTCTAACCTGCCAGACAGTCCCTGTACAGCTGGATGAAGTGACTGAAAATGTCTTTGGGGAAGCTTTTTTCATCAGGCAGACACTGAAGAAGCACCACCACCTCCACCTGGCCCAGAGCATGCATTCCCTTGGTTGTCACACACCAGCACTTCCTGTTTACGTCTGAGCAGGAAACAACATCTGAGCACGACTCGAAAGGATGAAAGAGTATCTTTAGGAGTAATGTGAGCTTTATTTAAAAAAAAGGCAGTAGAAATAATCTGTAAGGATAAATACATACAGTTGACCAGGTTGACCATGGCGAGCAGGTTAGCGTTGAGAACGAACACCACGGGTTTGCACCTGGCGCTCTCCAGCTCCTGGATGAGCAGCATCTCAGAAGGCTTCTCGTCCACAGTGTAATCTGTCGGAGGGGGGAATAATCTCCTTCAAACCGGTGCAAACAACTGAACCTAAATCTTATCTGCTGTCACTGACTGAAGGAAGCAGCTTCATCAGTTTAATTTAGAATTATTTATAATTAATTATTTTCTGAGTGTAGTCCTAAATAAAAAGGTAATAAAGCTGCTGCTGGTGGCTAAATGGGTTTGTGCTTGGAAATATGTAAATGTAATCAAATGTATCTCAACAAGTAAAAGCTTCACTTAAATACTCTCGGTATCAAAATAAAGCTAACAACACTTGGGAGATTTCAACAGACATGTAAGTATTGAAGCAGCAGTTGTTTCAGAGACACGTTTTTTTAGTTAGTTTATTCATTTCTTTAAAAAAAACAACAACATAAAATCAACATACAACAAAAATACAAATCATAAACTAAATAAAAGGTAGCAGAATAAGAAAAAATCTTATTATATCTGCCTCTTATTCTCAAATAAAGAAAGTCAATCAAAAATAATCTTTAATTTACAAAAAAAATCAATCGGACAAGTTATTTCCATCATACTCTCTTTCTGATTTTAAAACTCGTTTAAAAACACATTTCTTTTCTTTGGCTTTTAACCCAGTGAACTCACATCTGTGTCTTATTGCTGTACTCTTTTCTTGTATCTGTGATATTTTGAGTTCTATTTTCTTATAATTGTTTTATTTTTGTGTTTTGTTTAAATATTTTTTACAGTACTTTGGTCAACTGCTATGCTGCATTTTAGTCATTTTCTGTTCATGTAATTTTACTTTTACTTAGTTATTTTTTTCAAGTACTTTATAGACCTGTGAAACAGTTAAACAGTCAAAATGGTTTGTGTCAGCTTGAATCCATCCATTCACAAGCCAAACTCTTTGAAATTTAATGTCAACATGTATAAATAGGTTTGATTAAACGCACAACTCTCTTATGAACATCAAAACATTTTTCACCATCTGACCTATAAAACACTCTGTTCTGAAAGTCCTGCTGTCCTTTAATGTTTGCTCACTGTGCAAGGCACGATAGAAATAAAAAGAAGTTGATAACTCACCTCCTTTGACTCCTGTGGAGGTGAGGATTGGTGGCAGACCATCCAAGGGAATGAGGTTGGCAGAGTTGCTCACTAAAGCTGTGGTGCCCCAACCATAAGGACCACAGGCCTCCTGGTGAGGAAGATACAAAAAAAAAAKAACAATAACAGAACTATTATATCTACAAAAGACCTAAACACAAGCAGAAATTTTCATTTTCTGTAACTCTCAGTGTGTTCTTAATGAATCTGGGAACATTTGAGGTAAACCTACACTGATCATCGACCTGTGTGTCCTGGAGCTTCTCCTGACCTGTGGTGATCCAACAGGGCTTTTATCAGGCTCCTCCAGGGCTCGCCTCATCAGCGGTGAGAAGGAGGGCCCCCTCACTGGAGTGGTCGGGGCCGACTCGGACTGCTGATTGGCGAGGATCTCATCTGCAAACCACACTTTCCTTTTCCCCCCGGGGGGAGTCCCTGCAGGAGATCATGAAGGAGTTACTTCTGTGTTTTACTTTTTATGAGACACAACAAAGAGACAGTTGAACTCACTTCTGATGAGGGCTGAATGACAGGAAACACAGACCCGTCCCTCCTTGCCGTCCAGATGTGTAAGTCTGAACTTTAGATTGGAACAAAGGGCACAAAAAACCTGACAACGCACACACACAAGCATTAGATTCACTTTATATATACATTTTAACGCAATTTTAAAAGCTGCCTTCACCTTCCCACAAGCGCGGCAGTGGTGCCTTCTCTTGGTGAARGTAAACTTGACCCCACACTTCATGCAGACCTGAGCGTCAGCATCAGGGACCCACACCGGAGCCACGTCCCCGAGAACAGCTCCTCGGTCCTTGGACAGAATTCCMATCAGGCTCATCTGGGACTCGTTATCAGGAACTGTACCCTCCCTCGTGGCTCCCTCTAGGTTGGCTGCCGGGGCCTTGCTCATCTCGCTTCCTCCATCTGATCTGGTCATCGTAAACTGGCTCGGACACTCCCCGGGCCCCCCGGCCCCCAGCTCCTCTTGGGAAACCGCTGCAGTAGCAGCCAAGCTGCAGGACTCCTCCTGCAGCTCCTTCCCACTTTCCTCCAGCTCCTTCTCTTCAATCACAGACTCCTCCTTTGATGGGAGAATCTGCGGCTTCTTGTCCTCCGCCTCTTCCTTCTCCTCAGGCCATGCGACCTCAGCAGGACTCAAAACCAGGGAGCTGGAGGACCCCCCGTTGCCCCACGGGGAGACTGCAGTCATGGTGCAGCTGCTGTCGTTCAGCTGGGAGCGTGGAGCRGCTTCTGGTGGTTTCTGCTCACATGGTCTGGCTGTGCTTAGGAACGTTGCACCTGAGGCGGCTTTAGACAGAGACTCTGCTGGGATCTGACTGCAGCCCAGTCCAGGTTTGGTCACAGTCCCGTCTCTGAGGACCAGGAGGTAGGGCCTGTTCAGCCAGGGCTGCTTGGTGTCCTGAAGAGACAGGTTGTCTGCCTCATCTGTTTACAGAAGAACCAGCAGGAAATAAATTCATGCCTACTTACACACAGACATTATAATACTGTAGAGCAAGTGTCAAACTCAAGGCATGTGGGCCAAATGTGGCCCCCCACAACATTGTAAGTCAGGATCGCAGTAATTGGCTGAGAGACTGCTGTAATTTTTGCAATAGTTCTACAACCCAGCAGCTTCTGATGATAACTGTCAATAACTAGTGTCAGTTCACATAGATGGGGGATCTTGCTCTGTCTCTCCATCAGTTTGGGGGTCCCAAACTGAAAACCTTTGATCTAGATTCATACTATTTAGCAACAATTTGAAATTTATTGAATCTGAATGTCAAAGAGATGGAAAAAATAAACAGTTTGAAAAACATGAAGTTGAAGAAATGTATTGGGGTTTGCTTGTATACTGATCTTAATTACATTACAGTTTTATGATTAGAACTGTAATAATTGTTAAATGTGATTATTTTGCTTAAATTGATGATTTTATGTAGATGCATGCCTGAACACAGATTCAACACATAACTGAACCGGTAATCTTCATTAGGGTAGATTATTATTGTCTGGAGGCATGACCCAAGCAATGGTAGGGACCCCTTCCTGATGGCGTAATAAAAAAGGCGGAGTCATGTCCCGGACCTCTTGTTAACTGACTTCCGGATTTTCAGGGCATAAACGTGGACCAATAAACTGCCTTCAGACCGAGCAGCTCTGTGTGTTGTTGTTTGAACTCTTTCACATTCAATTTCCATGCAGTGGTACATTTTCAGTGTGGTTCAAGCACAGAAAAWGGTAAATGAACACGCTTAACATTATTTTCCTTCAAAGTAGTAATTTTGTTTATATAGGATTATTTTCAAACAGGTATTTACTGAAACTATGGCCTTCGAGATGGAACACTCAAGTCCTGTTMAAGCTTTTTTATTTTATAAGACTTTGCAGAGGCTGTTTATCAACTGTAGTTTTTAAGGCTTCTTGCGTTTGCTCTTTTGTTCGTTGCCTATTTTGTTTTATTTTTCAGATTTTATATGAGCACAAGGTGTTCCAAGTTTTTGGTCAAAAGCTGCATAAAGAAAGCAGCCAATGACTAAAAGAAACATCTGTTTGTAAAAGACCAAAAATAAATAGATAGATAGATAGATAGATAGATAGATAGATAGATAGATAGATAGATAGATAGATAGATAGATAGATNTAGATAGATAGATAGATAGATAGATAGATAGATAGATAGATAGATAGATAGATAGATAGATAGATAGATAGATAAAACTAAACTTGCATTTTCTGAGAAAATGCAGTGCAAATGCTTAATGCTGAAAGATTTTTGCAGAGATGAAAAGAAAATATCTTTAAAAAAAGTACCTTGCTATTTGTTGTAAAATAGCAAATAAGGTTGAAATTAGCAGAAAAGTAGCTAAAACGTTGCTGAAAAAGCTGAATCTAGCACAAACAAACAAGTAGGCGGCTGAAACTAACAAAAATGTCAAATCTTGCTGAAAAAGCTGAAAACAGCTAAAAGTATCTTAACTTACAGAAAACGGCTTAATTTTCAATAAGAACAAAAATGGCAGAAGGTAAATATCTCAAAAAGTCTAAATTGCTGAAATACCTTAAGTCATAGCCGAAATGTTGTCTCAARGTGAACGCTTAATAAAAAAATAGATAATAATAATAAAGTAGACTTATAGACTCGCAAAGTCCAAATTGTGTAGAAAAAACAGATTATGTGTTTAAATTTGTTCTTATTTGGGATTCAGACCAACGTGGTGATTGATACATATAAAATATTGTGTTAAAATGTAAAATGCTAAATGATTAACTACATTATCCATCAGTTCTTGCAGACAGTTTCAGTGTAGTAACAGACATGTCAGAGGTCCACTGCACACTTCAGTGATGAAATAAAACCACACCTGGTTAATTGACTAAAGTCTAAATGAAACTGCATTGCAGCTCCACTGAGTGGGGTAGGAGGGAGGGTCATCCATTCTGAAGAGAAAAGATTTACCTAAATTCAGCTGCAGCGGTGCTGATCACCGCGCACTCTGTCTTTTTCCCGGGACACAGTGACGCATTCAAGCACACGTGCAAATGTTTTAATCTGCTGGCGTGCACCAGCCCCCCGGCGGCAATGCGACACCGACCTCGTTACATCACAACAAACTAGCTGCTGTGTCAGCATTTCTCCCCCTCTTCTTCTGCATGCGCATGCAATGAACAGAGCATCAGTTTAACCCCCCCACCCCGTTCAGCTTCTTACCCTCAGTTATTTCACCCAAAAGGCTTTCATTCTCATCATCCCGGGAGGAGAAGAACTTCAGCATCTTATTCTGCTACATCTGAGAGGTGCGAGGAAGCAGCACTGCCCCCCCTCTTCTGAGATCTCCCCGCTCCCCTCCSCRMGRSRGTGTGTGTGTGTGTGTGTGRGKMYTGTGTGTGTGTCTCTGCAGCTTAGAAGAAATTCAAGAGGTGTGCAGAAACGTCCCTCCTCCCCAGTTTGCTCTCAGCCCGCAGGACGCTGTGTAAGCCAAGAGCTGCCAGACTCATCACCACAAGTGTTGGAGCTCAATCTGTCAGGTTCTACAAACAAACAAATAAATAAATAAATAAATAAATAAATAAATAAATAAATAAATAATCAAGTTTCAGAACAACCCAGACTGCACAGAACTTTGTATTGTACTGGAACATGTTGCGAAAACCTGCCACTGACAGAAAGATCTATTAAAAAAAATCTTATTCTGCTTTGTTTAGTGTTATAAACAAACCTTTGTTCATGAGTGCACATTTGGTGGGCTGTGGAGAGGGAAAGCAGCCCTTTGGGACAGCTGAGTCTCAGTCTGCGGTCCCTGAACCTCATGTGTCTCAGTCTGCCTCATCCTTGGATGCTTCATCGAAGCTCTCCTCCAGATCTGCACAAAGAAGAAAAGAAAAAAAGCAACATTAGAGAGTTTTCTTACTCTGCTGCTTTAGTTCTGATTGTTTTTTCCACAAAATATGTTTTACCTGGAACATCACCATCCTCTGCTTTTGGAGCCAATCTATTTTCCTAATGTTCCAGTCYGATTCTGAAATTTCTTTTTCTCAAACGCTATGAAAAGCCTCAGTTCTTCTGACAACATGACTGTCATTGAAAGAAGTGCAGAAATGTCTAGTTCCTTTTCAGTCATTACACTCAGTACAACACACAGTTGTGTATGGGACACACGCGCCCTCGCGCGCCTGGCTGAAGCCACCTCTAATCATGTCTTTAGACCGGTGATGTGGTGACCCTATAAGTTCGGAGTCACCAGCGTCATTACTTAGTTCTATCACCCTTCACCTCGCGACAGTCACCTCTAAACCTGAGCTCACATAGCTGCTGCTAGTTAGCTCAGCTTCCAGAAGGTTCTTAGGCTAGCTTTACTGGTGCTAACCGCGTTACCTGCTGGTTCGTGTGTCTGCCGCTCAACACTACTTAAGTGACCTTTATTTTCTGCTGAAAATCTGTTTTGTGGTTCACGATGAGCACAAAACCACCTTCGAAGAAGCCYAAGTCTTCTGTTCGCCCCTGTCCTCAGGGGTGCGGCTTTAAGCTTCATGAGAAGGACCAGCATGAGGCCTGCCCGGCCTGCCTAGGAATCATTCACGCTCGATGGGCGCTTGTGGAGCCCGAGTCCTGCCGGGCCTGTGCCGGACTCTTGCTTCCGACACTGGAGAAGAGAGTGAAATTCCTGGAGAAAATGCTGGGGGAAACTGCTGTTTTCCGACAAGACCCGCTGCTCTCCGAATCCAGCCAGACGGCTCAGTCCGACGAAGACGAGGATTCGGCAGTCGAAGCCCCCGCTGCTAGCTGGGCGGACCAGATGGAGCACGAGGCGGCCTCACACGACATCGAGGGGGGCGAGACCCAGTTTCTACTGGATCTAAACCAAGAGGAGGACAATGTTTTGGAAATGGAGCAGGAGCTTCTCAGTCTGTCCGAAGACGACGAGGAGCCGTGCCCAGCTCACTCCACCCCCGCTGCTGAGAGGGTGGACCAGGATTCGTCCTTCTTGTCCCTGTGCCGCCAAGCTGCTGCTAAACTGGAGGTTCAGTGGCCCGACCCCCCACCTGCTCAAAAGCTGTCGGGGTTCGCAGGGTTTTATCTCCTGTCTGAACCGGCTGATGTGAAGCACCGTCTGCCTATGTTCCTGGACTTTGTGTCGGAGCTGACGTCTTCCTGGAGCAAACCGCTGTCCATCCGCGCCTTCGTGCCCAGACAGGATCAGTACTTGGACGTGGAAGGGGCAGATCAAGCAGGCCTGGTGGGTATCCCTCCGATGGAGCCATCTTTAGCCGCTTATTTGGCTCCGTCTCACAACCAGGGTGTGAGTGGGCCCACCCGGCTCCCCTCCAAGCCCTGCAGATTCTCCTTGGTACAGCTGGAGAAGATCTACAAGGCCCAAGGTAACACCGCCCGTGTGCCTAGCTCCGTCACCATGTTTCAGACCTACAAGGCCATGGCCTTGGCTGAACTGGCAGCTCAGATGCTGCAGGAAAACCCCCTTTTACCCCTGCTGAACGAGATCAAACTGGCGTCAGACCACATCCTGCGTGTGTCCCGCTGTGCAGTGCTGGCTCTGGGGAATGGAATGGCTTCTGCTGTGGTGGCGCAGAGGCACCTGTGGCTAACGCTCTCTGACGTTCCCAACAAGGACAGAGCGGCCTACTTGGATGAACCGATAACACCTACAGGACTGTTTGGTCAAGCACTTGACGTCATCCAAACCAAATTTGAATGGAGGAAGAAGCAGGCTGAGGCACTTCGCTGCATCATCCCCAGACGTGACGCGAGGCCCAAGGCCCCGAGCACATCCAGGTCTGCGTCTCATCCTCCTCCATTCAAGAAGGCGGTGACGCCCGGGACTTCAAAGGCCCAGCCCACCGAACCTTCCAGCAAGCCGCAGCCTCCCCGTCAATCGGCATGGAGCAAAGGCCCCCCTCCGAGTCAGTAGGACAGTTCAACGGCTCGGAAGAAGAAGTCAAAGTCCTCCTAACAGCAGGACTGTCTTCACAGTGACTTCAGAAACAGAGAGACAATGTTCAGCTGCAGTTGAAAAGACATTTAAATGTTTGTGTTTCAGAAAACGGCCCCAAGAGGCATCGGGTTTCAAATGTTCAGTCTCCTCTGTTGTCCCGAAAAATAAACAAAAAACATGTAGCCCCCTCCTTGGGTGCAAATTGTGTTTTAAAATGCAAAACTTCAAAAACAGTTCTGCAAATGTTTTCAATGTGTCATTAAAGAATTATCTTTGTGCACAAATGAACACAATAAGCTGTGGGCGACAGTCAATAATGTTGTCCCTTCTCCATCCAGTGGAGGGCAGCAGCAACACATTTCCAACAGAAAGGCAAGTCAGTCGCTTAGCAACGCGACTCCCTCTCTGGCGCGCATGAGCACCCTCTCCATGGGCACAAAGAACTGTTGCTATGGGTTACAGACTGCAGTTCCACGTCAGGCCACCTCACTTTCGGGCCATTGTAAACAAGTGGTGACAAACGGGGCAACCGCCATTTTAAGAGAGGAAATTTGCATGTTGCTACAAAGAGAGCTATCCGAGTGGTTCCAGCTGCAGAAACATAAAAAGGTCTGTACAGCCGTTATTTTCTTGTTCCGAAGAAAGGTGGCGGCCTGCGGCCTATTTTGGATCTGAGAGTGTTAAACCGGTACCTTCAAACATACAGGTTCAAAATGTTAACGCTCAAACAACTAATTTACTCTATCAGCCCAGGCAATTGGTTTGCGATCATCGATTTAACAGACGCCTATTTTCACATAGCGATTCACCCGGAGCACAGAAAGTATCTCAGGTTCGCCTTCGAGGGTGTAGCCTACGAGTACCTGGTGCTACCGTTCGGTTTATTGCTAGCTCCTTGCACCTTTCCAAAGTGCGTAGAAGCTGCGTTGACTCCCCTCAGGGAAAGTGGGGTCCGTCTGTTAGCATATCTAGATGACTGGGCTCTGATCACAAGCTCCAAGGAGCAAACATTAGATCAGCTGTCTCAGGTTCTGTCACACATTCAGGCTTTAGGGTTTTCAGTAAACACCCAGAAAAGTCTATTAACACCAAGTCAGCAGTTTTTGTTCCCCGGATTAGAAATCTGCTCCTTGTCAAGCAGGGCTCGCCTCTCAGAAAACAGAGCGGCCGCGTTTCACTGCTGCTTAGCTCAGTTTCAACTGGGACGCAAACTGAGCTTCAAAACCGTACTACAGTTACTGGGAATGATGGCTTCCATGATTTCAGTGGTACCACTCGGGCTGTTAAAAATGTGCCGTTTTCAGCGTTGATCTCAGTCCCACAAGCTGTGTCCGTCTCAACACAGACACAAAAAGCTAACAATAACTGCTTCCTGCATGACGGCTCTCAGCCCCTGGAGGGAACCCAGTCTCCTGTATCAGGGTTCTCCGATAGGGAGGGTGTCGTTTCACAAAGTGGTGTCCACAGACGCCTCTCTGAAGGGTTGGGGAGCCCTGTGCGATGGCGCAGCGGTTAGGGGAACCTGGACTCCACAACAGTCCAGGCTCCACATAAACTGCCTAGAATTGCTAGCAGTCCTGTTAGCGTTGAAACATTTTTGTCCAGTTCTGGAGAACCATCTTCTAATCAGAACAGACAACACAGCAGTGGTCTCTTATATAAACAGACAAGGGGGGACTCGGTCCCTTCCTCTGCTGAATCTGTCTCACACTCTTTTACAGTGGAGCAGTGTTCATTTTCTGTCTATCAGAGCCATTCATGTTCCGGGAAGACTGAATCTGGGTCCAGACCTCCTCTCCAGAGGCGGACCTCTAGCAAAGGAGTGGAGGCTGCATCCCACTGTGGTGGCTCAGATTTGGGTGTTGTTTGGCAAAGCGACAGTAGACCTGTTTGCCTCCAGAGCAAACACACACTGTCCTCTGTTCTTTTCCATGACAGAGCAGAGCGCTCCTCTGGGAGTGGACGCCCTAGCTCATCCTTGGCCCAATGTACTTCTGTATGCGTTTCCCCCAGTGGAAATGATACCACTTGTACTAGAGAGGGTGCGCAGACAGAGCACCCCACTGGCCAGCGAAGTCTTGG